TAAGATTTTGCTAATACTCCGCAGGCCTCACTGCAATTTTACAGAAACACCTGGGTAACAGCAAAGTGTCACCCACCAACGGGCTGCCCGGCTCCAGCTTCCTCTTTCCCATCCCTTTGATCCAGCAAGCAGCACATGAAACTGGGACGCGGCTGCTGGGTCACTATTAGGAGTTCATGAGCAAGGGAAGGTGGAGGCTCCGAGCGGGCCCWGTCCCCCCGCAGCGCCCTACTTAAAGGCTTTGCCCCCCAATCCATCCCAGAACAGGGCCCTCCCCGGCAGGAAGGGGAAGTGACTCTCCCAGAGGCAGGAAAAGCCTGTTTTGCTGCTTGCTTCTCCACGAGCTCCGCATCCCCGTGTTCCAGGTAGCAGCAGTTGCAGCACCTCTCCTGTGTACAGGGCCCAAATGCACCAGAAAAACATAGGCTCTGTCTCCCTACAAGCACCGTGCACGTTTCCAGAGATCCTGGACATCCCTGTTTGTAGCAGAGATCATCAGCACCTCGTTGGAATTGCTCATGAGAACTTGGTAAGGAATCAACCACACGACCAAGGTGCTCAAGAGCTCCTCAAGAGCACCTTGGTCACGTGGTTGATTCCTTAACCAGGACACAACTACCAGTGTAAGGAACAGCAACATTCACCTAGGAGAACTGCTGGACACASAGCGCTCACCTAAACCTCCTACGTGCGTTTTGTTCCACTTCCAGGGCCTTTATCATGCACTAGAAGTGTGCCAGTGCACGTGGATTGGGAAAGAGGGGGGGCTGTCTGGGCTGCAGCCCCAGCAGACTGTCAGAAAGAAAAGATGCCCWCGGATTTCACCCAAAGCACCCAGCCTCCCACTCCAGCCCTTGCTGGCCCTTCCAAGCGCTCCTGCATATCACCTTCAACCAGCCCTTCACACACGCACCTACTGCAACCTCTGGGTGCAGCGGGCGCTGCCATTAGAGCCAGCCAAGGGGTTTGGGTCAGGGGCACAGAAGTGCTGAGCGTTTCCCAAATGTATCCTGCCTCTGCGGGGCTGCTGCAGGGCGCCAGGGCCCTTCCCACGCAGTCCCAGCCCTGCCTGCACCCGCCGTGGCCATCGCGTCGCCACCCCGGGGCTGCCTCCGCTGGGCAGCCAAAGTCCAGCCTGGGCCGGGCACTCGCAGCCCCATGGAACAGGGCCAGGAGGGCCCTGCCGGCTCACGAGAGCTGCCCAGGCACGTCCTGCCCGTTGGGGGGCACAGCAGGACGGGACAGCTGCGAGGAGGGCACTCGGGATGAACCTCCGTGAACTGGAGCCTCACAGGCCACAGCCAAGTGCCCCACGGGGCTCGTTTTGCCTCGCTGGGCTCCAGGATGAGCGTTCAGCTGCCCCGTTGACCCAAGCGCTAAAGGCCCTTGCGCAGAAGGGAATTCCTGATCCGAGCCCCAGGGGGTTGCCGGTCGCCCCGCCAGGCCCGCACCCGGTCACCTCCGGCCCCGCCAGCACCCTGCGGTTTTCCCCCGAGGAACCGGGCCGGCAGCGGCACAAGGACAAGGACGGCGAGGCTGCCAGGGCGGTTTCACGGCGC